GCCCGCCACGCGCACCCGCCGGGGACTGCGAAGGGGCGGCCGGGGAGGCAGGTAGAGGTCTGCGGTGGCCTGTCGCGGAGAGGAGACCCCGGCCGATCTCCGCGGGCCTGGGGCCTCGCCTCTTGCACCCCCTCAAATAACCCTCCTAAGGGGAGTGGGTGCCGCCCTGGGAGACCTGGCCCCGCGGGGCTGTGCGGCCCCTCCCAGGCGGCCTAGCCCCTCCCTCCTGTCGGGTTCGTCAGAGGTGGCGGCCACAGGGAGGAAGGACTGATGGCCCACCCAGAGGCGTCAGAGAGAGCCGGGACAGCACCTTGCTAAACCCTGGAAACTCTTCGCCTGGTCTTCCCCCTACAGTCCCCGTCCTTTCCCATCCAATCACTCATCCACTATTCAAGAAGCATTTCCAAAGTGTGTCCAACAGCATCGTGTCCCTGGGAAGGTGGAACTGGGACCTTGTCCACAAAAGGCTTTGCATCCAAAAGGAGACTAGCTGAGCTCAAGTGAGGAGGAGTCAGTCTTCAGCAAAAAGGAATTCCGACTTGGTGCCAGGCTCTAGAGCTGGAGGGTCCAGAGAAGCTCTCCAAAATTCAAATTCTTTCTGAAGTGTTCTCTTCCTACTAGCATGGTGGCCCAAATGGTCGCCCCTCTGTTGAAAGACTTCCCTCTATATTAACTCAGTATCTGGGAAGGCATGATGTTTGTTCTGAAATTGGAAGAAAGGTCTTCCTCATCCCAACCCATAAGATGCCAGTTGCTCGGTTTCTCCAGATTGATGTGTTTAACTCATATTCTCCCTCCATCATTTCCTGTTTGTGACATCACTACTTCACACATCTCAACCTTGCTTTCCTCATCTGGTGAGAAACACCTAAGGTGATGTGAGAAGTGAATAGCAGATCTTTGCATAGATTGAAATGGCCTATCCCATACAAACTCAGTAAAGGTTATTTGTGTCTGAATCCAGCCCCTGAACAACCATGGTGAAGAATGAATGACAAAGAGGAATAGTCCATCTGTTGTCAAACTTTTAAAAGTCATCATATTTTTCAATTAAAAAAAGACATAATTTAGACCATAGAGTCTTCATACCTGGCTCATGTGAGGTGACATTAGTGTAGGTAGGCTGTTCCCTCTACCTAGAATTTCCTTCCATATTTATCTAGAATGCTCTTCCTCTTCCTGCAGAGGTTTATCTTTGTATCACAAGCATCTATCACTATTCCTGGCAGAGAGTAGGTACACACGAATGTTTGTCAGACTATGCCAATACAACAGATTTTATATCAATCTCAAGTTCAAATCTCATTAAAATGGTGAAAGGAAAAAAAGGGTGAGGGTGTGGGGGTGATAAATAAGAAAGTGTATTTGGTTTAGAAACTAGAAATTGTTCCAGTGGTTCTCTTCCCTTTTTATACAGATATTTTCCCACTGGTTATGGTTTGAAATAATAACATTAATAATAAGCATTTTTCTATCCATAGGTCACAAAACAAATTTTAATGATCCTTAATTTGTACTTGGGAATAAGTGCACCACCATAGCATGAGGATGTAATTTACTAGAAGACAAGGAGGGTACTGGGTTTAGAAATAATACACTCAGCCAAATTTGAATATATAATCAGTAGTTTTACAAAAACACCAAAAACTTGACTTGTGTTGGCCAAATACTCCCTGGGAATGTGAGCGCAGTTTGAAAAACCCTAGTCTAGACAACAATTGTTTACAGAACTCCCAGAAGGGAATATTCACTGTGGAGTGGCATGCTCTAGAAATATCTTATGGAGGAGGTAGCACTGAAATGGATCTTACAGACTCATTGAAAAGAAGGGACAGTGATTTAACTTGAGGAAAGAGATCAGGGTAGAAGTAGGCAATGCTGTGATGAGAGGAGTGTGAGAAGACAGGGTGGTCTACAGGACACTGGAAAGGGAGTGTGGGTCAATTCTTGGGGAGTCTTGAACACCTACTAAGATGTTTTGCAAGTCAGCAATGGAAAGCTGAAGACTTTTAAATCCATTAAAAGTGTATAACAATCACAAGTATGTGTTAGAAAACAAAGTCTGAGAGAAATGGACTGCAGAGGTTGAGGTTAGAGATAGGGAGGTCCATGGTGGTGGCAGTAGAAAGGAAGAAGAAAAACTAGAATTGCAAGATGTTTAGAAGAAAGAAACCACTGGCTGCAGACTTTCATTATGGCTACCCCACCTACTTCCATAAAGCATTTGATCCAAATCAACAAGATTGATGAGTAATAGGATATGCATGTGTTTGGAATTGGAGAAGGGGGTGAGCAACTAGGTAAAGGAAGGAGGAAGGTTTTAAACTGAATGACTGAGCGACCCATTGTCATACCATTATTTCATTTTGAGCTTATCTCCAGATCATCTCTAGCTTCTGGAAAGCACAGATACTTCCCAAGGAATGAAGGGACAGTTCTTCTCCCTCTATGAGAAGGTTAACCCAACCAATGGACAGTGTTGCTTTTGACTCTTCAGATGAACCATGGCTCATAAGAATCCTATTGCTCATGCAGAATGGAAGATACCTATTGCTTTCCACAAATTGGGACAGGCTCCTCCTACTAGTCATAACTCAAAAGCAAGTGATAGAAACTATGTTGAAACAAAGATAATTCAGTGACTTACATAGATTGGAAAAGGATGGAATTGCTCACACTGTTGGTTGTACTCAAGGTGTGGATGGAAATAAAATTATCTTTCTCATTCTCTGCCTCTTTCCCCATGCTGGCAACTTTCCTGTTGAAGGGTTTCCTCCATGCAACGTAGAAAATGGCAGCTGAGAGCTCCCACCATTCCTTTCTGTATGAAGTATTCATACATTATTTTTGAATCCCAGAGAAAGTCTATGTGGCTGATATAGATCATATGCTCTTGCTTTGGCCATTTACTACAGTCAGGCACTAATAGAGCTCTATGGTTGGCCAGCCACCATAAGCCATATGCCTACCCATGAGGCAGAGGTTTATAATGACTGACAGCTTTGCCAAAATCACCACATTGGATTGGGAATGAGCAGAAGCCCAAAGAATAGGAAAGGGATCCTGGCCAACATGTACATGGGACATAGATGTACACAGGAAAATGCCTGAGAAGGGAACGTGGAGGGAAGGGTGCTGTCTGACTAGAACATGAGCTTGAGCTAGAACAAGTGTAACCTGTTTCATTATCCAAGGTAAGATCTACTGCCATAATGGTGACATTAGAAAATAGTGATATCCTCCTTCTAGAATTGATACATGATCTTGCCCTCCTGTGTATTATGGTGGTTGAACATGTAGACTGTAGAGTCAGATTGCCTGGGTTCCAATCCTTGGGTCATCACTACTAGTTATATGCTATGAGGTTCTTTACTTAATCTCTTTATCCTTCTATTTCCACATGTTTATTATTTACTATTATATAACAAACTACCCCAAACCTCATGGCTTAAAACAAAAGCACTACTTATCTCATAGTTTCTGTGGGTTAGGGATTTAGGAGCAACTTAGGTGGGTGGCTCCACCCAAAATTCCCTTATGTAGTTACATCAAAATTTTAAACAGGATTGCCATTACTTGAATACATGACTTTGGTTGGGGGATCCACCTCCAAGATGGCACCCACTATGGCCATTGGCCAGAGACCTTAGCTTCCAGCATGTCAGCTTCCCCATAGAGTTCCTTGAGTGTCTGCCCACCATTCCCACCTAATTCACCCTTATAACAAATAGAGCTATCAATGCTTCAGCTTTTTCAGCATAGAGCAGCTGACTGATCTGAGGTCTTCATCTATGTTATGAAGGCTGTTTGGTGCACAGGCGATTTGCAGCATGTCAGTCTGAATGACCAACAATGTCACCTGATCCACATCCCTCACTTTAAAGATAAGAAAACTAAAACCCAGATTGGGTGATCTAACAAAGAAAGGAGGACGTCACAATGCACTTAATCATCAAATCTTAAAAGCCAAATGTTGCCACTTTCATTATATCCTGCTGTTTACACTGCTGAGCCACTAAGCCTTGCCCACACTCAAAGAAAAGTGACATAATCTCCAACTTCTAAAGGGAAGGGTATGAAAGAATTTTTGGACATATTTTTAAAGCACAACACCATATCTGTAAACTGAGGGGACAGAGAGTTGTTTTGAGAAGTAGATGAGCTATTACCACTTCCAAACTCATATGTGCCACTAATATCTTTGAATGTCCAAGATTCTTATAGAAAGATATTAAATCAAATAATAAAGTCTTCAGAATTTTTTAAGCCATTTAGAAACCCTTGTTGCTAATTAAACTTTATTTTTAGAAACAATTTTAAAATAGTTTACTTCACTGAGGGAGAAAAGGACGAAGGGCACCCAACAGACTATGAAATATGGATGTCTTGATGGTGGGTATTTTTCTGTGCTAACATACATCTGAAGAGGTGTGAACCTGTATCTTTAAATCATAAACCAACACTACCACAATAAAAAAAAATTAAAAGTTGTACTTCAATAATAATGATAATTAAAGTTATACTTACTCAGTGTCTGCAATGCTATTATTCTTACT